AAAAATTTTGTAAATTTTATTTTATTCTTTTTTTCTATTCAATAATTCATAAAAGAGAAAAATGAATTTTTTGTGTGTCCATTGTATAATTTTTGTATTTATTTTTAATTTTGCTACTTTAATAATTTCGTTTTTAAAATTCTGTTTTTATTATTATAAATATTTAATAATAGTCAACTACCCGATTATTTGTAATAAATAAATTTTTTCTCTCCAATTTTTCTGTTATTTTGTTTCAGAAGAAAAAATATTTATATAAAATGGAACAATTTTTTTTTTTTTTAATAGAAACAACATTTCTATGAGCACATATTGATATTGTTATAAATATTGACATATTAAATTAGAATTATTTTTTTTATTTGATGAAGCAATAATGTGATGAAACATTTTTTGCAGATTTCAATTTAACGATGGATGATGATCCTGGATTATTTTTGTCGTCATCAACGTCATCATCGTCAGCAGCAATGCAGAGGATGTCCGATGGACTGATTGACTCGATGCCAATGAAATTTCCATGTGGAAATTGTTCGAGTATTTTTAGTAGAAAACACAATTTACAATATCATTTGAAATATGAATGTTCCCAACCACCGAGATTTAATTGTCCTCATTGTAATTATAGAACGCGTCATCCATCAAATGTACGTGCTCATGTTCGAAGAATTCATCCTGGAAGTGAAGTTTATGTGATAGATGTATACAAGACTGATATTTCATTACCTATACCAAATTATTAAAATTATATTTTATTTTTTTTTATATTGTGATCGAAATTTTATAAGAGAATTTTATTATTTTGCATTTTGTTTTGAATACAATTCGTTATCAATATTTAAAAAAAAAAAAAAAACTATTTCTATATAATATTGTGTACTTAATTTTTTAGAACGATGATCAATTTAACAAATAATATTCTTTAAGTGTGAAAAATTATGTGATAAGAAAATTTGAATATTTCCCGCATTAGAACTGTTGGAATTAAAAATTGTGGAATTTTTATTTAACAAAATTTATGTCTAGAAAAAAATTTTTTTTTTTACGAAACAGAATTTTTAAGGTAATTTTTATTTCACAATTTTTATTTTTCAAAATTTCTCTTTTTTCAACATTTTATTCAAAATAATTATAATTTAGCCGAATTTCAATTTAGCATTATTCTCATTCAATAGAATTTTATGTGATTCGAATTTTTTTAGCGACAGAATTTTCAATTCATTGAATTTTCATTTGTCCGAATTTTTATTTGATAGAATTCTTAAAACACCGAATTTTTAGTTTTGTCAAAATTTGCAAATGAACGGAAAAATAATCGATAAAAATATTTCGGCGCGATTATTTTTCCGTTCAATTGCAATTTTGGACAAAACTAAAAATTCGGTGTTTCAAGAAATGTATCAAATAAAAATTCGATGAATTGGAAATTCTGTCGCTAAAAAAATTCGGATCACATAAAATTCTGTTGAATGATAATTCTGCTAAATTGAAATTCGGCTAAATTAGAATTCTTTTAAATGAAAATTCGAGTAAACAGAAATTCTGTTAAATAAAAATTTAGTGATCTAGAAATTTTGTTATGAAAAAATTTTTTTAAACAAAATTTTGTAATTCGAAAATTGAACATGGAAAAAAAATTTACCTGGAACAACGAAACGTTTCACTATAGTAGCAAAAGTTTTACTTGTTTTAGTAAAATCTTTCACCATTCTAGTGATACCTTTCGCTGTTTAATAAATAGAAATTAAATAGAAATTCGATAAAAGAACAATGTTGTTAAATGGAAATTTTATTATTTGAAAATTCAATACATATATTAGAAAATACAAAACAAAAGTCCAGTAAAAAATGCCGACAGGTATAATGCGAGGATTATTCATTCGTAAATTTATATGTGCCATTTCAGGAGTTTTTTTTAGCACTTTTTGGAGTAACCTTTCCAAATTAAATGAAACATTTTTTTTTTTTTAATAATATTTATTAATATAAAGGTCCAAAATAATCACTTTGTAAGTAAAAACAATTGTTTATTTAAAAAATATAGCAATAAATAATGAAAAAAAATTCACTTTTTTTCTGCACCACCAAATAAATTGGTTTAAAGCTCAAAATTTTCCTTAATTTTCAAGCTTACATACCGCATAAGAAAAATTTCATGATTCGACATAGTTAACTCACAATTTATTAAACAATGTTTTCTTTTTTGTATTTTATTTATTGTGAAACGTCTGCTATCGCTGCGCGCGACGTTCGGAAGTTGTCGCTCTCGTTATTGAGCAGAAGCTCATTACACTAGCGTAGTAGAAAGCATGTTGTGTAAAAAGTGAGGTTTTTTATCCTTCAAAAATGTTTTTTATGATTTTTTACTGCAAAGTAGATAATTAAAAACCATTCAATGTGATAACCAGAAATGTTTTCGTTTCGTTCAATGACAACATAACCTCACTATTCACACAACATACTTTCTACTACGCTAGTGTAAGGAGCTTCTGCTCAATAACGAAAGCGACAATTTCCGATCGTCGCGCGCAGCGATAGCAGACGTTTCACAGTAAATAAAATACAAAAAAGTAAACAAACATTGTTTAATAATTAATTGTGAGTTAACTATTTTGAAATACATTATTTTTATTGTGCGGTATGAAAGCTTGGAAAATAAGAAAAATTTTGATCTTTATACCAATTTATTTGGTGGTGCAGAAAAAAAGTGAATTTTTTTTCATTATTTCTTGTTGTATTTTTTAAATAAACAATTGTTTTTATACTTAAAAAGTGATTATTTTCGACCTTTATATTAATAAATATTATTAAAAAAAAAAAAGTGTTTCATTTAATTTGGAAAAATTATTCCGAAAAGCGATAAAAAAAACTCATGGAATGGCACATATATATAATTAAACATAATCTTAAAACAATTTTTATTTTATCCATTTTGTTTTATTTCAAAAAAAAAATCAACAAAGAACAAAACTGTGATGTAACGAAATTTGTAAAACATTTTTTTTATTACTAATATATTATATTGGTTTTCAATTTTTTTTTTTTAAAGACATTTTGAAATAAAATTGATCTTTAAACAAATTAGTTTTTTTCCAAAAAAAAAAAATTTACCCAAAAAAAGTGATTTGAATTTTTCACCTTCTTTGTAATGCTTTTGTGATGATTTGTTATTTGCAATTTTTTCTATGACCATTATTATCAAAAATATATTTTCAACATCAATTTGTAATTAACAAAAGTGTTAAATTTTTTTTTTTAGATAAAATTATTCTCTTTTTTTCACAAATAATTATGGATCAAGCAGTTAAAAAAAAAACAAACAAAGACTTTTATCACAATAAAAATAAAATTTGTACTGAAACATTTTTTTTGTATTTTGTTTACAGAATTTCAACTAGACGCCATGCAACAAAAATTTCAAGTCCAAGGTTTTACATATAAAGGCGATAGCTGTTTGGAAAGAGAAAAATATCCTTGTCCAAAATGTTTTAGTACATTTACACGAAAAAATAATTTATATAATCATTTAAAATTTCAATGTGGCCGACTACCAAGATTTGCATGTCCACATTGTAACTACATGACAAAACATGCGTCAAATGTTAGAACTCATGTGAGAAGAATACATCCAGATAGTGCTGTTTATGTTGTCGATATCAACGCCCAACAAACAAATTCGCAAAGTAGTTAAAAAAAAAAAAAATATTAAAGAAATTATAGTACAAAATATTTATTTGTAATAAAAGAAAAAAAAAAGACTCATTTCATGTGAAAAAAAAATTTACATTCTATTACTGTGTTATAAAACGAGTATTTTAGATTTAAAAAAAAAATTCAAAATATTATTTAAGAATGTTTATTGTAAAAATTAATAATTTATAAATTTTATAATAAAAGTGCAATTTGTATCTTCCTCTGTTTTCAATTATTTCATGGGAATAAATGCATAAGCGATTTGAAAAAAAAAAGCAAAAAAATTTATAGGTTATGTTTATGATTGTATGACCTTGCGATTGATAGTTTGTTTTTAATCACATAAAATCAAAATTATTTTCTTTATTTTCAATGTAAATCAATGTTTTGTACTGAGAATTGTTCCTCTTTGTATTTTCACTAAAAACAACTAGTAAACATAACCTATAATTTTTTTAATCAAGGTAAAACTATCATGAACATAACCTATAATTTTTTTTACTTCTTTTCTCTCTTTCCTTAGAGCGTGTCACAAATAATTAATTAAGTTTTTTTTACTAATTTGTAATAATAATAATAATAACAATAATAATAATTATTATTATTATACAATTTAATATTATTTATTATTTTTCGTCACTATTAATTGAATCGTTAATTTCGACAAGGACTCAACTCTGAAAACCATAAGAGTCATTTTCACTATCAATAGTTATGCGAAAATGACACTTATGCTTTTTTGAGTTGAGTCCTTATTGAAATTCACGATTCAATATTATTTATTCATATTACAGAATTGACAATTGTAGAAAATTGATTTTTTTTCATTGTTTGCACTTTTACAGGCATATAAAAAAAATTCAATTTTTAATTGAAAAAAAATAAATAAAATTTTTTTAAAATTTACTAAAATTTTTCTATTGTTTATTTTGTGATTTTGAATTCTATATAGAAGCCATAAAATTTTCTTTCAGGGACCCTTAGTTAGTTTAATTGCATGTTTAATATAAATATATACATATATATATATACATGTTCCTAATACGCATATTATTTTTGAATTGCTTTAATTATTTACGCAGCATTGGATATTAAAAAATGATTTTAAAAATAGTCGAACTATCAATCATACAGAAAAAAATAGAAAAAAAAACTAATTTTACTAAAATTTTTTTTGACTATTATTATCATCATAAAATTTTTTAAATCTTCTGCAAAAAGTAGTTTTTAATTCAGTAGAATTGTTAAAAAATAATAAATTGTTTATTTCCAATGTTAATGTTGTTTTTTTTCCCTTTGTTTTCTAGGTTATGGACAGTACATGTTTCTTGGTGAAGGTGAACAAACAGAAATTGTCTGGGAGAGTATCAATATATCCGATGAAAATATGGAGGGCATTGTTAATAATTGTAATAATGAAATAATCAATAAACAACATGAAAGAACGGAGAGGAAAATAAAAAAATTTGAAACCAACGCAAGGCATGGACAAGTTAAATATTTAACAAGATCACGTTTTCGTATGCCCGAGAGAACAACGAAGAATAAAAATATTTTCAATTGTCCCAATAATTGTGGAAGTTCATTTATTCAAAAAATCACATTGGATAGACATTTAAAATTCACTTGCGGTCAACCATTGAGATATCGTTGTCCCTATTGCGATATGTCATCGAGAATTCGTAATTGTATTAATATTCATGTTAAAGCACGTCATCCAAATTTAAAAAATTATGTCATTGATATGTCAACAACTAAAACTGAAATACAATTTGAAGAGGATTTTAATTCACCGATAATACAAAAAGTTGAACCCATTTGGAATGAGGAGCAGGAGATTAAAATTTTAAATGTCTCCAGTTTGGCAACAATGGATATTAAACACGAATATGATACATCAAATGATGATTATGATGATAATTCTTTTAATAATATTTCACAAAGAAAAAGGCACGTTTGTCCAAATAATTGTGGTAATTCATATAAGCACGAGCACACATTAAAAGTTCATTTACAATTTGGATGCAATCGTAATGATCAGAATTTTCATTTAGATGACGATGAATCAGATTCTGATTATGATATACCAACTGATATATTGAAATTAAAGAATCCAGAGGAATTACTTAATCCAATGGCAATTGGTGATAATTATCAACAAAATTCCGAGGGTAAATGGGTTTGTCCAAATAAATGTGGAGTTACATTTAGTAGTCGTAGTAATCTCACGTATCATTTAAAGACAAATTGTGGTTTAAAACCAAAATTAGAATGTCCCTATTGTCTTCATCGTACAAAACAATTGTACAATGGTTTTAGTCATGTGAAAAATTCACATCCAGGCGCTGAAATATGTTTAATTCATATTGACACTGGTGAAGTGTTGAAAAGCAAAAAAGACAGCAGTCAATTTAATATTGGATCATTGGAATTAAAAAAATCCCCACGTAAAACAACACCAACTTGTCAAACATGTGGTAAGGAATTTAAATTGGAACATACATTATCAAGACATCTTATTGAGGGTTGTGGTTATCCGCCACGTTTTAAATGTCCCTATTGTGATTATCAAGTGAGACGATTGTCGTACGCATTTTTTCATGTCTCAAAACATCATCCAGGTTGTGAGGTTTATATGGTGGATTTAGTCACCGGTGACAGTATTACAGATCCTGCTCAAATTAAAAAAGAAGCTATCGCCGACATTGTCGATGATGAAAAACCATTTGATTCTTCTGTAAATTTACAGCAGCAACCGAAAAAAACTGTTAAAGTTGGATTACAAAAGAAAAAAGTTGCATGTCCACATGGTTGTGGTCAGCTATTTTTCTTCAAAGCCAGTCTTATAAAGCACGCAAAACGATGTAAAAGAAATCGTAAACAATCATCAACAGGTCGCTATAAATGTCCATATTGTCAAAATCGTTATGGACACACATCAAGCCTCTTTAGACACATTAGAGCCAGTCATTCAACAAAAAAGAAATATTTCATTGACACCTACGAAGAGGAAATTATACCCGAGAATGTTGAAACAATTAACAAGAAGGAGAATATAAAAGCTAAAAAACTGCCCAATGATTTAGATGAAAAGACTGATGCAACAGAGAATAATGATACATTAAAAACATTTGTATGTCCCAATAAATGTGGAAGTAGTTTTGAACATTTTTGCAATATACAACGACACATTCGTTTGAATTGTGCCAAAGCACGTCGTTATAAATGTCCACAATGTAATTATCGTTCACAAAAATTTATTCTCATTGCAAAACATATAAAAACAAATCACAAAATGAATAGAATTTATGCTATTGATTATTTTACTAAAAAACAAGTTCACAGTGAACAGAAACACAGACCCAATAAACGAGGCAAGACTGAAGAAAATGAGAATATAGCTGAACAATTGCCAAAACCAACAACAACAACAACTGCCAAAAAAACCAAAACTAAAAAACCTTTTCCATGTCCAAATAATTGTGGTCGTTCTTTTGGTAATGAACGTGCAATTGTACCTCATATGCGACTTGTTTGTGGAAAAAATACAATGTACAAATGTCCCTATTGTCCACAAACTTGTCAACGTCGTGGTAATATGACAATTCACATAAAACATCGTCATTCAGGCAAAAAGAATTATATGATTGATATATCAAAGAAAAAAAACACTCGAGTTATGAAAATTAAAAAAGAATTACAATTACCAATTGTTAAGATTAAAGAGGAAAATGAAGAAGAGAAACCAAAATCTGTAGCACCGTCAATTTTTGGAAATCCAGTGAAAAGAAAAACCCCACGTCTATTTAATTGTACTAAAAGAAGACTTATGTGTCCACATAAATGCGGTAGTTATTTTTCATCATCTGTGAAATTAAAATTACATATGTCAACAGCTTGTAAAAAACCAATGAGCACAAAATGTCCCTATTGTCACAAGCAGTGTAAATTTGCTTGGAATATTGATATGCATATTAAACATCGTCATCCGGAAAAATTGGATAAAAATCATTTGAAAGATGAAAAAGAAATTAAAAATCAAAATCAAGACGAAATGGAAGAGGAGATAGAAAGTAAATTAACAGAAAATATGGAAGAGGAATTAAATACATCGGATAAAAATGAAGATGTTGAAATGCAATCCATTGAAGAGGAAATTAAAGTAAAAAAAGAAAATATAGAAGAAAATACAACTATTGAATCAAATAGTCCAATGAAAAAATTCATCTGTCCAAATAAATGCGGTAAATCCTATCCAAAAGAAAGTAGTCTAAAAAATCATCTATTCTTCACTTGTCAAAAACCCTTACGCTATGCATGTCCATATTGTCAACTTTGTTCCAAAGTCACATCAAATGGTTATGTTCATGTGAAAAGAATGCATCCAGATCGTCGTGTCTATCTTATAGATATTGAAACAAATAAAATTGTCTGCGGTTCAAAATATAAGCCAAACACTAGTGATGAAATGGAAAATAAAGAAATTTCTATTGATAAAACAAATAATGATAGTATGGAAATTGTGAATGATTCAAATGTTGATTTAGATGTTGATGAACCAGATGAACCAGATGAACCAATTCTTGGTGCCGATGAAGAATTTACAAATGATGATAGAAATTTAGTTTTAGAACAATCGTCATCATCATCATCATCATCATTATTGTTAGATAAGAAAAAGGAAGAATTATTTGTCTGCCCTAATAATTGTGGTAGTTCATTTACACATGAGCATAAATTAATTAATCATGTTCGTGATCAATGTGGACCACCACGTTATAAATGTCCTTATTGTTTTTTTATCACAAGAGAGCCTTCTAATGTCTATGCTCATATTAAAAATAAACATCCTGACGAGAGGATTTATATGATTGATACTGATATGAATCAAAGCTGCAATGAGCCAGATTCACCAAGAGGCAATGATGACAATTAGATGATTTCAGGTGTGTAGGAAGTTATTTTTTTTTTATTTTTTTTTAACCCTTTCACATCAAGAAAAAAATTGGATATTCAAAAAATTAAAGTTGCAGTTGAAGTTTTTAAGGTGGGTCAGGTTAATTTTTCTAAATTCAAAACGGCGATAGGAAAAATAGAAAAATCGTTTGGATTAGCTTGATATTTCATTTTTTAGGGGTTTCCGGAGTGGCTGATTACGAATCCGATGTGTTTTACAAAATTCAAAATGGCGGTCGAAAAAATTAAAAATTGTTTGGATTTGCTTGAATTTAGTTTTTTGGGGGGTTTTCAGGGTCGCTGAATACGAATCTGATGTCAGTTTTTTAAAATTCAAAATGGCGGATACAATATGGCAGTTGAAAAAATTTAAAAATAGTTTGAATTTGCTTGGAACTAGATTCTCGGGGGTTTTCGGGGTCGCTGATTGCGAATATGACATCAGATTGACAAAATTCAAAATGGCGAATCCAATATGGCGGTCGAAAAAATTAAAAATTGTTTGGATTTGCTTGAAACTAGTTTTTTGGGGGGTTTTCGGGGTCGCTGAATACGAATCTAATGTCAGTTTTTTTAAAATTCAAAATGGCGGATACAATATGGCGACCGAAAATTTTAAAAATTCACGAAATTTGCTTAAAACTTGTTACTCGGGGGTTTTCGGGTCGCTGATTACGAATCTAAAGTCAATTTTTAATAATTCAAAATGGCGGATCAAATATGGCGTACGACTTTTTGAAAACTTAATGCAATTTGCTTGAAACTAGTTACTCGGGGGTTTTTGGGGTCGCTGATTACGAATCTGAAGTCAGTTTTTAAAAATTAAAAATGGCGAATCCAATATGGCGGACAACTTTCTGAACATCTAATGCAATTCGCTTGAAACTTGTTCTCGGGGGTTTTTGGGGTCGCTGAATACGAATATGATATCAGTTTTTTAAAATTCAAAATGGCGGATACAATATGGCAATTGAAAATTTAAAAATAGTTTGAATTTGCTTAAAACTAAATTCTCGTGGATTTTCGGGGTCGCTGATTACGAATATGACATCAGATTGACAAAATTCAAAATGGCGAATCCAATATGGCGGTTGAAAAAAATAAAAATTATTTGGATTTGCTTGAAACTAGTTTTTTGGGGGGTTTTCGGGGTCGCTGAATACGAATCTGATGTCAGTTTTTAAAAATTCAAAATGCCGGATTCAATATGGTTGTCGAAAAAATTTAAAAATCGTTTAAATTTACTTGAAATTTTTTTCTCGGGCTTTTCGGAGTGGCTGATTACGAAACCTATATTATTTTCAAAATTTAAAATGGCGGATTCAATATGGCAGTTAAAAAAAAATTTTTAATCATTTGGATTTGGTTGAAACTTGTTTCTGGGGGGTTTAAAAATCTCCCAATTGGCGTGAAAGGGTTAAAAACAAAAATATTACAATTATTAAATGTATTTGACACCTTTTCTTGCAAAATAAACTGACAATTCAATTGATGAAATTATTTTTCCTTTTTGAAATTTTTGCACTAGATTGCGATTATGTAATTTTATTTTGACTTTCACTTTTATTTTGACTCAAACTTTCTTTTTCACTTTCATTTTAATTTTCACTTTCACTTTGATTTTTATTTTTTATTTTAACTAAAATTTTCCATTGAAATATTAAAAGTCAAAATTAAAGTAAAAGTTAAATATTATACAATCGCATTCAAGTTCAAATTTTTGACAATTATATTGGGATATTAATGGTTTTGGTTCGCTATATTTAGCTGATAGGGAAAAAAAAATTTTTTTTTTCTAAATAATATCTAAATTGTAAAATATTTTTCTTTCAGTGCTTACGATATTTCTTTTTTTTTTATTCAATTTCCAATTTAATTTCATACGTAGTGTTTATTGCTATAAAGTGTTAGATAAAAAGAAAGAGGAAAATTACAAAGTTTATTAATTGAAAAATTGATTTTGATTTTTTTTGCAGATCTTTCGTTTGTAATTGGATCATTAATAAAGGAGTACAAGTGTTCTACATGTAATAGCACTTTCCAAAGGAAAAGTAGTCTTATAAGACATAAACGTTACACGTGTGAAGATAAAAAACGTTTCGCTTGTCCTTATTGTCAACATAGATCGAAATTAGCGAGTAATGTCTATAAACATGTTCGTCATTTTCATCCTGAATCTGAAGTTTTTGCTATTGATGATGATATGCTTTGTAAAAAACAGCCTTGAGTGGTGAATAAATATTTTTAGCCTAGTTGTACATTTCTTTTGTTTTTGTTAACAAAAAATACCCTGAGAATTTTTTTTTTTTTTTTTTTTTTTTTTTTTGTTCTTAAAAATTAACATATATTTTCTGTACTTTCGTCGAAAAAAAATTTCTTCTATCATTAAGTGTACATTTTTAAAAAATTAATAATTGTGGAATTTTTATTTTTTTTGTATTATTTTTTATAATGTTTCATATAATATTGCAATTTTTTTGTTATTTAAAATTATTTAAAAAACATTATTAAATTCTTTAAAAAATTATGAATGTTAAAACACATTAATAATATTGTTATTAAATAATAAGAATTATTCTTATTACTGTTGTCGTCATCGTCTTATTGTCCATTGTCTATTTTTAGGTAAGAATTTTTTTTTTTTTTTTTTTAATTTTATTCAAATAAAATTTCTAATTAGATTGATTAATTATTGTTTCAGATGAAATTCAAATTAATAAACGAAGTTTACTAGAAACAATTCATTATTATCGTCGAGGGAAAATAAATTAAGAAGCCAGGAAACAAAAAATAATGAAATAATACTTAAAATCAAAGTGGATAATAAGGAATCAGAATATATAAAAAAAAAATATTTCCGCAATAATAAAATTTTGACGAAACATATCAATATTTGTCAATCACAATTTATGTGTCCATTTTGTGATTATAAAGCAAAATTAAGAGTTGACATAAAAAATCATTGTAAAAAAAATATGATGATCATAAAGAAAATTTGTGAACTTAAATGTCAGTTATTTTAATTTTTTTTGAAAAATTAATTTATACTGCTTATAAAACGCTACTTTTGACTACAAGAAAAATTTTTTTTTTTAAATATATTCGACGATAATGCAGTTTTACATAATATCGATATTATGTAAAGTTAATAACTGACTATAAAAATAATAAAAACAATAAATATAAATTACATACCACTTGTTATTTATATTTATTATAATATTATATGTGACGTACTTTGAAGAGGCAAAAAATTGTAGGTTATGTTTTGTGATAGTTTGAATCAATATAATTGTGCCTTCATTAATTAGAAATAAAAAAAAAAATAATTAAAAAAGAAAATAAAAACCGGATTTTGAATCTAATACATAAAATAAGAAATTTCTAATCAAACCAATCATAAACATAACCTACTTCTGCTCCCTTTCTTCCGAGCACGTCACATTTTTATTAACATTATATTAATACAAAAAAAAATCAATCTAATTTTCATAATTGGTATAAGGAAATAAATTTATTTTTCATATAACAAATTTTCTATATATGAAAAAACAGCTATATTAACAAATGATTCTATTTTTTTTTTAAACCTAACACATTATGATTGATAATTGCTTTTTTCAATTTTTTATAATCAATTTATTTCCATGGGTTTTTTTTTCTTTTTTTTTTTAGATTTCGCAACACATCTGATGTTTGGTGATAAAGAAGATTATGTCGTCAATAATTTCGAAGATAATATACATCATCATAATTCATCAACAATGAACAATAGTACAATTCTGGATAATAATTTTGGTTATTCTGATAAAAAATATCCCTGTCCAACGTGTACAAGTGTTTTTCGACAAAAACCAAGTTTAACGAGGCACATAAAATATGAATGTCTTCAACCACCAAGATTTGCCTGCCCCTATTGTAATCATCGAAGCAAGAAAACATCAGACATTTATGTTCATGTTCGTAGAAAACATTCACCGTGCAAAGTTTATGCCATTGATATTTATGGCGATGTGAATACAGGAAAACTTCATCGAATACCATAATTATTATAAATTTTATTTAAAAAAAAAAAAAATTAATTTTCATTTTGGTTAATTTCCCTTTTTTGTTTAACATTAATTTATATTTATTAATAATTAATAATAACAATAATTAGTAAAAATTCTTATTTTTATTATTGTTATTATTATTATTAATTTTTATTAACATTCAATAATTTACTTACTACATGGAGAGAAAGGTTACAGTATATTTTACATTTTACTAAATAGGTTTAGTAATGATTCCACTAAATTGCGAAAAGATGTCAACGACCGTTGATAAACGCAACTGCGCTTGCGCTATTGTCACTCTCTCATTGATCGAAAAAAGGAGCTCTTATTTAAAATCCTTTAATATAAAACAATTTTTTTTAAATGAAAAAAAAAATTTAACTGTTAAATTGATTGATAAAAATTTTGATAAAAAAAGATCATAATAAAACAACAATAAAATTAACACTTCAAAAATTTTTTTTTCTAAATATTTTTTTATATTAAATCTGATCATTTTAAATAAGAGCGTCTTTTTTGTACCAATAAGGGTACGGTCACACAATCTCATGCATGCTCTGTGTATGCATGCAGAAACATTTTTCCGGTCTCACTTTAACGAAATCTAGTGAATGTTTAGTAACTTTCTAGTAATTTTCCAAAAATTTCGGTTGTAACAAGAAAGTTACTAAACATTCACTAGATTTCGTTGAAGTGTGACCGGCCAAATGTTTCTGCATAGTGTGACCGTACCCTAAGAGAAAAAAACGAAATGCACTATTCTGATTGGTTGTCCACAATAAGGAAGGTTGATTGCGGACAACCAATCAGAATAGTGCATTTCGTTTCAGAGAAGGTAAACTGTTTTTAAATTCGACACTTGTGAATGCTGCCTTATGTTTTCACTAAACAAAGTTCAGTCTGTCAGTCCAAAATTAACATTCTATTTAGTAAATTACACTGTCATAATAGTAAAATCTACTATACCCTTGTCTCCGTGTAAATTAACTAAAATTGTAAATTTAGAGAAAATTAACCTGAAAGATAAAAATTTGTATTCTTATATATTTTTTTAAAATTAAAATAAGATTTGAAAAAATATTTTTTCACTTTGTTATATCTAATTGAAATTCGTCTGATGAATGTACAAATGTATTATAAAATTACATTTCTATGTGAATTAATAAAAATCATTTATTATACTTTAAGGAATTTTTAGTTAATCATTTATATTTTATTCTGTATATAATTTTATATATGTAATTCTAATATTATTTGTTATATTTAATGAAATTTTGTTTTCGTTGCGAATAAAAATTTATATGTAAATTGTTAACTTCTTTTTTTTCAATAATAACGTCGTCTCCAGGTGTTTATATAATATATGTTTGCATGATCGATTTTTTTTCGTATATTATTTTATCTGCTTCCATGTTATTGTTTGTCTTAATAAAAGTTAAATTAATTCATTTCACAAAGTGTAATCGCATATAATGTCACATAAGCTTATTTGTTAAATTTTTTCGTTTTTAGGATTTAAATAATTTACCCGCTTTAAAACCTATTGTGTCAACAATACTCATAAAATTGTTTTCGATTTTGATATATATTTTTCGATATATACCCAACTGCATATAATATGCTGTCCTTTTGTTTTGACAACATTTTTTGAAAATTCGTGACAATTCTATAATAATTTTACACTATACACCACGAACTCATAAAATTATTATAGAAGTATTACGACTTTTAAAAATGCCATTAAACCGGAGGGACAGTAGTACCATTTTTCGCCACTCTTTCTAAAAGTGAAGGCCAACGCAAAATAGATTCGCAAACGAGATGCATGTGATAGGAAAGGATACGAATATATCTCTGTCCTTTTCTAACTCATGTTTTAATCAAATGTCTTTCACGAATCTATTCTGCTTAGGCTTTTACTGGTCTTTACTCTGATGAAAACTGGACAAAAAGCCTACTTTCAATAAAAAAAATTTATCGTAAATTGTACAAAGAAAAATTGAATTTAAAAATGAATTAAATAATAATTAAAATTTTGTAAAATTAATCATTAACGTCTGAGATCTTTTATAAAATTAGATGAATAAAAACGAAAACATTCGGATAAAAAATAAAAATATATTTACTCCAACGTTTCGAAATCAAATTTATTTCTTATCTCACTCTATTTGTTTTTGTTCTTCTCTCTTTATTAATTTTCATTATAAGGACCCGATAGATTTTGGAGCTCAGTTTTAAATTTGACTTGCAGTTTACAATATGTTTTTACTTATTTGACAAATTATTTTATTGTGAACTGCTTGTTTAATTTTAACTTTCCCTTTTATTATTTATGTTTTTTATTTATTTATTACACAAGAAGAATTATTTATTTAATATGGTATGTTATTTTATTTTATCTCACTAATTACTACTTTCTAAAAGTTTTAATTAATTTTTATTTATTTTTGTATTATTTTTATATATTTAATAATTCCACTACTTTTTTATCTTTTTATTTTAAATTTAATTTTCTTTTTTGTTTTATAAATTTCTGACTCCAGTCTCTACTCCATTGTCAGGGTTAAATACCAATGTTTCTGTTCATTTGACTTATTAATTTTTTGGTAAGATAACTTTTGATAATTTATATTTTATTTTATTTACTTGTTAATCATTTGTTATTTATTATTTCATTTGTATATTTTTTGATAGACTCCCTGAAGAGGAAATCAATTAGATTTCGAAACGTTGGAGTAAATATATTTTTATTTTTTGTCCGAATGTTTTCGTTTTTATTCACCGAATTAAAATTTTATTAAATATATATAAAATTATCATAAATGTAAATAATAAATATTTATTAAAAATTATTTTATTTATTAAAATACCCTCACAGAAAAAAGGTGTGTAAAAAGTTGTAAAGATAGAGGATAAAAGTCGTTAGGATACAGGGTAAAGGATAAATTTGTGATGGATAAAAATGTTACTAAAATATTACTAGAAAAATGGATGTCATATTTGAGTAAACTGTCTAATTTTAATAAAAATATTAGTAATTTTACATTTAACTTATTAAATCCACAAATTT